GGCCAACGGAAAGCAAAACGGGAGAATTCCTCACCGAGTCCCTCAGGATGCACCGGGAGACGTGCACCCTGCCCAGCCCTGCCCGCACCGCTCCCCGCAGTGCCCTGGGACAGCCCTTGGCACCAGCCACACCCCCGCCCAGACCGTTCAGGCTCTGATGGTCAGAAGTCCTAGAAACCACTCACCAGCGGGGAGCCAGGTGCCCAAGAGAGACCCCAAAGCTTTGAGAACCCGGAAGTCAGGCTACAGCACGACCACTCACACCTGCGTGCCAGGGGAGGGGACCCTGGGCCAAAGAGACAAGTTGCTGGGTGAGGCCTGTCACCACACCCTGTCCCCTGGAGCCCCCTCCACACAGGTGGGCGTTTCTTGTTGGCACCTGGCACCTAGTGAATCTGGCAATCCCTGGAGGTTCGGGCAGCGACTTTGGCCGTGAGGTCAGCACCTGGTGAGTTCGCTACTTCCAGACAGAACCCTTGTCCTAGTTTGTGCCCCAAATGCCTAAGTGCCTGTTCCCCGACCTATAATTAAAATCAGTTCTTTAAAAAAAAAAAAACTCAATTCTTTTTGTAGAAGTCCCAAAACACAGTCTCAATTATCAGCAGTTCCCCAAAATGGCTGACACTGACCCAGTCTCACTCACGGGGACCCTGTCACAGACGGACTGATGGACAGATGGACACGCTCCCTCTTCTTCCCCCTAGGGCAGGTCTGATCAGCTCCCCCACCCCCTTCACCACTCCATGGACAGTGACCACCAGACACAGCCTGTCTTCAGTGCTTCATGGGCGCTGGCCCAGGGGGATGAGACTGGCCATGCCTGGCAACAGAGAGGCCTTGAGGGAGGCGTGTAGCAGCTCCAAGGGTCCACCCCCTGCCTGGTGGGCACCCAGGCAGCCTCTCCACCCTCCCTGGTGAGTGTCCTGCACACACTAAGCCCGAGACTGGGAGGGGCAACATGTGGGCCAGGGGCTCCAGAAGGCACACGATCCCTGGGAGCGACTCCAGAAAGACCACCCATCTCGGGAGCACGGAGCAAGCCCACGCCCAAACCCACACACAGGAGACCCGGGCAGCGTCTCCACACCTGGAAACCAGAATCGCATGGGCTCCACAAGGCCGGGAAGCCGAACTCCTCTGCCAAGAGGTGCAGGTAGCTTGAGTCAGGCCAGGGGCTTCTGCGGCTCGAGGACGCCTGGGCGGGGCTCCCTGTGCCAGACGTGGGGCCCAGGGCCACCCCCACCTGCATGTACTGCCCACTGGGCCACACATGGCTCAGGCCCCTGGTGAAGACCCCCTGAGTTCGAGAGGCCCTGCGGAAACAAGGAGGCTCTGAGGGAGCAGGGGAGGCCACTGGAGCCGGGGGCTCAGCACTCAGGTCACACTGCCTCTGGGGGTCAGTCCCCACCTCCCGAGGGGCCCCAACAGGTCAGGATCCCGCCCCGACAGATGACAGTGCATGGGCATGTCTGCCTCGAAGCAGGCAGGCCTAATAGCCAGGACGTCCTGCGGGCCCAGGCGGGGCCAGGCTCTCCAGGTCGGGGCCACAAACTATAGCCTGGATGGAGCTGCCCTGATGGCCGGTCCACTACCAGAGTGGCCCGCGTCAGAGCTGGGGATCAGCCACTCAAAGACACAGAGACAGACAGGAAAAGCAGACTCCTGCTCTTCCTCAGGAAAAGAGTGTCTTGAACAGGCCACTTCCTGGGACTAGCAGGACCTCAGCCAAGGCTTCCGGCTCCCAGGCCAGGGCGGGGCTTCCTGCCGAGGGGCGGGGCCTCTATGAAGGGGCGGGGCCAGCTCAGCCCAGGCATTTCCTCCCGGGAAACGCCGGAGGGGCGGGGCTGCCACACCCTCCCAGCCCTGAGAGAGGTGGCTACACCTCAAAGCAGAGCCAGCCCCGGCTCCCGGCCAGGTCTGCAACACCTGCAAGAACCAGAAGGAGCAGCCCCAGGTGCCAAGGTGCCCTCAGCTGCTCCGGGGGAGCTGGGCATCTCAACAAGGCCACCAGGCAGGCCAGGAACGTCCACCAGACAGGAGGCCAGCGCGCCTTCTGCCAGCTCAGAGCACACCAGGCGCCCACCCCTCCAGCGCAGACGTGGGGAGAGGGGCTCCACGGCAGCCCCAGCCTGGCCTCTCGGGTTCCACGCCCCCAGAGAGCAAAAACCACGCTGGCTGGACCTCCCCTTAGCAAGATGACTGGAACAGCGGCACATGCTGGCTGTCTCCGTGTGACCCGCCTGCGTCGGGCGCCAAGAGGGGCAGGGTGGAACACAGCCCCAGTCCTCCCAGAGAGAAGTGCCGTTACTTGAAAAAGAATCACTGCACTGAAACCCTCAGGAGGCCGAGTCAGGTGGAAAAGGTGGGGGAGGAGAAGGAGAAGCAATGATGGAGGTGGGACAGAGGAGGGAAGCTGCTTCATCCAGGCCCCGGTGCCCTTGCTGCTCAGGAGAGGGAGGAAGGCTCAGGTGCCCACCTTACAAAGGGGGAAACTGAGGCTCAGAGAGGTGAAGGAGCTCAATGTGACCACCCGGCCTGTGCACAGGGGCACAGCTGGTATCCATACCAAAATCTGACTGCCAGGGCCTTGTGGTTGTGCCCGGATGGGGGGGACAGGCCAGCCATGGTCCATCTGCAGGCACCTGAGTGAAGAGGAGCTGCTATAAGTTCTGGGAGGCACGAGTGAGAAGTGGGGGTGACCGGGCCTCACAGGGCAGCAGAGCTGTGCTGAGGAGAAAGGGCAGAGGGAAGGCTCGGTTGTGGGGTGGCCCTCGGACACAGGAAGAAAGGTCACCATTGGACGTCTCCAAGGCCCCAGGAGGCCAGGGAGGACGTGGCCGGCCTCGCCAAGCCAGGGGACGAATGGGAGGCCTCCTGCAGGAGAGAAGATCCTCCAAACTACCTGTGCAGAAAGACTTGGGTTTGCAGGGCCCGCCCTCTTGGCCCAGAGTGGAGCATGGGCCGCCTTGGAGGCCGAGAGGGGGGTCAGGGCTCTCTTGGAGAGAGAGCTTTTGCAGTGGGTGGAGGGAGCTGGCAGGCTGAGGGGGCTGCGCCGCTGGGGACCAGAGGTAGCAGAGTCACAATGACTCGGGCCTGTGTGGAAGTGAACGACGCCAGCACGTCCCTCCCTGCTGCAGGACGCGCTGGACGGGCACAGACCCTGATGGCAGCAGGGCCAGCTCGTCCCAGGCTGAGGGCTTCGGCTCAGCGTGGAGCCTCTGAGTATGGGGCCCTAAAAGAGAAAGCAGCACAGATTCCTGACGGTACACACGAGCGGAGCACTGACCACGTCCTCGCGTGCGTGGGCCTCGAAAACAGCCGACGGCGAGCAGCCAGACGTAGAAGGCCACGTGGGACTGTTCCAGCCACTGCTGGGGGTGGGGCTGCTGATGGCCACTGAGAGCACCCCAAGTGGGTGGGGGGGAGGTTATACGACGCTACGAAGTACACTCGAAACTACTGAGCTGTGCGCTTTCAAGGGGTGATCTGCACAGTATGTGAATTCTCTCCCGATACAGCTGTTACCAGGAAAACCACTTTGGGGGTGGTGCACAGGCTCCCCTCCCCTCTAAGCAGGCAGCTGAACCCCTGAACAAGCTGGTCTCCTGTCCCCGTCACCAGGCCATCCAACCAGCCCCCGGGGGTCCCTCCGAGGGGACACTGTGGGTGTCACTGCCCGCCCAGGCGGTGGGGGAATTGTCCACCAGTCAAGGCTTTCAGGAAGCAAAAATGACACTGCAACAAAGGCGAGACAGAACAAAGCAACAGACGCACACCTGCGCAGGTGTTCCTGCCCCAACCTCCTGCCCCGGCTCCCAGGAACTCACTCCTGGAAACGACTCAGATGGGCTCACGGCAGCACCCTTGCTGTGGGGGAAGGCCTCGAAGTGGTGACGGGTACGGACAGTCCTTGAAGATGACGGTCATGAGACTGGGGACGTGGGGAGGGGACACTACAGAGAGGCAAGAACTACACCACTGCAACCATAGAACACTTGAGTGAGGGCCGTGGCAGCGGCACAGAGGGGGGCGCTCCACCACCGCTCAGCCAACTGCCACTCAGTAGATGACAGACCTCATCTGCCGCCGCCCTGCCCATCCCCTCCACCAGCACCAGCACGGGTGGGGGGCAGGGCGGGCAGGCTGGTCGGGGGAGAAAGGCCTCCTCATCTACACCGCACTCGGGGGGGCCTGCTCCAGAGGCAGGATCGGCCTCTCAGCCCCAGCGTGACCCTGAGGCCTTCGCAGGCAACAGTGTCTGACACGGCACCCCAGGGCTGAAAGCGCACACCCACACACAGAGCACTGCAGACAGGGCAGTGAGGTGCCCTCAAGCTTGCCGCCCTGACGGCTGGTAGGGACGGGAAGGGTGGGCTTTGAAAGGCGAAGGGTCCACCCCAGGGGTCACCCCCACTGCTGATGGCCGGGGAACTGCTTTCTCCTCATCTGAGACACGTGACGTCAGAGCGGCGTCTGGGTCTGATCTATGTCAACTGTCCACGGGGTTCTGGTGAACCAGGTGTGTCGGGGTCATGTCTGCCACAGGACACACGGTCCTACCAACTGTGACCAAGGCTGCCCCTCCCACCCCGGAGCGCCATCTGCCTCACGCCGCAGGGCTGCTGAGATGCCGGACCAGCCAGCGTCTGCCACCGGAGGCTTGGGGCCCGTGCTGGGAGCGGGCAACCACCGGCCAGTCAGTGACAGTCGGGAGTCCCTCTACGAGGTGGGGTCCTAGGGGGACAGGCGGGGAGGCTCCCTCTGCCTTTCTGCTCCCCTGGCAGACTCTCAGGAAGGGGCTGCAACCTGCCGGCTCCACAACACGGGGCGCCCGCTGTCCAAAATCCCCCAGGAGGTTGGAGCCTGGCTCTGCCTGGACCCATCGGGGGGCCAGCCTCCGTCCCTGAGGCCGAGGCGCTGGGGACGGTGGGTGGACGGGCGTGCAACCCCTCGCCCTGACAAGGCCCACAGGCCGTGTGTGTGCCCCACGTGCACCCCACCTGCAGCTCCTTGTCCGAGTACTTCTGGGGGTTTTTTGCTCCCCTGGCTCTTCTTGCGGAGCTTCTTCAGCTCAGCCTGGCACTTGTCCAGCGCGTCCCCTTTGCTCCTTTGCTCCGCCTGGTACTTCTTAAGCGCGGCCTGAAGTTCAATAACACAAGGAGGGCGATGAGCGGGAGAGCCCCTCCCGCCCTCAACATGGCCACAGTGCCCGGACCCGGGACGGCTGCAAACCCGAGTGTGTGTGTGCGTGTGGAGCTCCCTGAAGGCCACAGCCCTGCCCACCCCGCAGACAAAGACTGGGCTGGCCGAGACCCCAGCCCAGCCCCCAGTGTGTGAGCACCTCACGTGACCCGTGTAACAGAGCTCAGCCCCTCCCCCTTCTCATAACTGGGCAGAGGTGACGGGGCATGAACGCCTCAATGAAACTGCGGGCAGAGGAGTTCACACAGGGGGCCACCAGGGCCACCTCACGGCGTCATCTTTGCTAAAGGCAGCCGAGAGGTGCGGGCAGCAAAACCAGCACCTGGGGCGTCAGAGGTGAGGGGCCCCTCGCCCCCCCAGGATCATGTTTAGTCTCAAATGGGCACGAACATCAGAGGGGCTGCAGGAGCCCCACGGGGCAGGAAGCTCACAGGAAGCTGAAGACCCTCAGACCGGGGGAGGGCTCCAACACCGCAGAGCCAGGCGGCCCAGGGCGTGGGCGGGGCTACTTACACTCAGGTACCTGGAGTCCAGCTCCACCTTCTGCTCCAGCTGCGTGAGCAGCTCGTTGTGAAAAGACTTCAGCTGGATGCAGAGAGGAGAGAGCAGTCAGCTCTGATGTACCACCCGGGGAGGGAGAGCTGGGCAGTCCCCACTACCACGGCACCGGGCACCCCAACGTGAGGGGCCCACCTGGTCTGTGAGTCGCTGACTCTGCTCTGACAGCGGGCCCGTGGGGCCAAGCAGACCCAGGGCTGAGCAGTGAACTGAAGTCCTGCCTTCCCATGTGGAAAACAGACTGTCTCCCTGATGTCCCCCATCCCGTGCGGGGGGGTGTCTCAGGCACGAGCTGGGCTGGCTGGGTGCTGGCTGGGCCTACAGCCAGGGTGCACCTGCGCTTCCCTGGGCCCACCACTCGCAGTGTCCCAGCGGTCACTGACCATAAGACCCCACCTGGCCCAAGCCCTTTCCTCCTGGGTCCACTGCATATCCTCGGCCATGGGGGTCACCTCCCCAGCATGTGACTCCTGTCCAGGGCCTGGGTACGTCCCCGCCTTTCTGAGCATGACCACAGGACAGTGCATCCTTCTCTAGTGGACACACAGCCACAGCATACGTCCGGCTCCTCCTCCGCCTCTGGGGCGCCCGCCCACCGCCACCGCCCCTCCGTCCCCGAGCGCCCACACGAGGAGGCTGGGACTCACCATCTCCTCCAGCTGATTCTGAATCTGCCTGTGGACCTCGGCCATCTGGAAGAGAACGTCCCCTGGGAGGCAGAAGGCAGGAGAGAGAAGCGGGAGGACTGTGAGCTACACAGAGTCACCGTCCCGCCTCCCCCACCGCGGCTGGGGAGTGGGCAGCAGGCCAGGGGCTGGGGTGCTTCTCCAGGGGACACCACCAAGAGGAGGCAGAAAACTCCAGAACAAGGGTGCCAGCCCTCAAGTGTGCACGGCTGCTCAGCATCTCTGGGGGCTTGGGGTCTCAGGTGCTGGCATCAAAGCCAAAGTTCACGACAGAGCTAAGAACCTGGAGACCCCACCTGTGCAGGTTTCAGCCCGGCGTGTGAGCCCGCGAGCCCACGCATCTCCCCTCACGGGCGCAGAGCAAACAAACCTCCATGATGCCACCCATGGGGAAGACAGCCGGTGACCCTCTCCCACCCCGAGGGGAGCAGGGCTTCCCTCCTCCACCGAGGGCTCCGATCGAGCAAAGAGACGCGCTCCAACCACAGGCCCGCGCATTCGGGGACTGAGCCAACATGTCCCCCAACCCTGGGGCTCAGGCCTCTGCAGGGGCTCTAGGACCCGCTGGCTGGCTCTGGGACCCGAGGCCTGGCCAGCACCTGGGACCTCTGCGCGAGAGGGCTCGGCTGCTCCAGAGCAGCGTGGTGTCAGGGGCACGCCAGGGACGCTGCCTCTATCGGCGGATTCGCACGAGGCCGACTGAGAGGTCGGGCTGTGAGAGAGCAAGGAGCAGGCGGCCGCCAAAGGCCACATCCGGCTGGACGCCAAGGACAGGAGCAGAAGGGGACATGGGACGTGGAGGAGTCTGGTCTCCGCCCTCAGCTGAAAGGGAACCACTGGGACAAACCAGCGGGCAGCCCGGGGACAGGCCAGGCTGCCGCCTCCCTGTCCTGCCCAGTGCAGACCCTCTTCTCCCTGCCCTGCCCAGTGCAGGCCCCCGCTTCCTGCCCTGCCCAGTGCAGGCCCCCCGCTCCCCAGCAGGTGAGGCCTCTGGCACAGCCACGGCCTCTCAGGGCCCCTGATCTGACTGCACGGTGGGACCGCCATCCCATGTGTCAAGGAGAGCAGGCACAGGAAGTCCAGACCCACAGGTCACTCTCTGGCCCCAAGTGCCCTCTCAAGGGACGTGAAGTCCATAAATAAGACGCAGAGCAAGTGGCGGTGGAGGTCACTCTGTCGGCCACCCCAGGACTGTGAGTTAGCGTCCTGATCAAACTGAACACACATTTCCATAAAAAGGCCGCACATGCCTAGCTCAAGAACGTCTGAAAAACAACAGAAAACAGCAAGTCCTTTAAAAAACGATTCTTGTTGCCAAGAAGACTACGTGGAGCTTCTAGAGGATTCTGGTCCCCGCACCCCGGGCTCTCCCAACACACTGGGACCCCAGCGTTTCCCGTGTCCCCCGGGCCACGGCCATCTCCCGGGAGTGCACTTGGGGAGTGAGCGCCAGGCCCCGAGCTGCGAGCCAGCGGCTGCACGAACTGGTCCACACGGGGAATTTCCATCAGTTTTATAAGCACACACTCACAGGTCCTCTTCCTCCGAGTCCCTTCCATGGGTCTTTGGAGCCCGTGGGCTGGCCAGAGCCACACCTTGTTCCTGGGTGCCGTGACCCTTCCTACCTTCTCTGGGCTTGAAGGACAGCATGGCGAGGAGACACCTTCCCAGGCCCAGCCGCCAGGGGGAGGAGGCTGCCAGGCTCTGCCAGACCCCGTCTAGGAACCAGGTCCAGGTCCACGGCACAGGTGGGCCCTGAACTTGAAAAACCAGGTTTAACTTAAATCAGCAGCTCAGACCCAGGCTGGCCCAAGCAAATAGCAGGGTAGCGGGGTTATCAGCTCAAGAGCCACCGCCCCACGGGGCTGCCAGGGCCCAGGAGTGGACAGAGGGTCGGGCAGGTAGGCGGCCACCCCAGGGCCCTGACGGGAGGGCAGCCGGGGCCACACCCCCACGGAGGGAGGGGGAGTGGGGAAGGGGTGGAAGGGGGAAGGCGTGAGCGGCAGGGACAGGGGAGGCCACAGGGTTCACATGGTGCCACGAGGCTCCACCAGGACAAAAAACAGAGAGGTATCTGAGAACGAGGCGACGCCCCTCCTGTGTTTACCCAGAGAGGCAGGCAGCCAGGGCAGCGGTGACTCACCTCTGGCTGCACGCCCTTCAGCTCTGAGTTTTTAAATTCCTGGTACTCCCAGTAACCTCCAACACAGCCTCACGTCTTTAGATTAAGAGTGGAGCTTAGCACCCGGGGCACCACCCCTCCTGGGGAAGGCAGGGGCTGGGCTGGGGCAGCCGGTGCGTGTTCACACACAAGGGTACACACACAGGAATGAACATCGGAACAGGAGCTGTACTTCCATGCAGATACAGGCGATGTGCCGGTCATCTCTGTCCCCTCTAGCAGTCCGGCCAGACACAGGCTCCTTTTGTCTCGTGGCTAACACAGGACAATGGCAGGACAGTCACCACCACCTCTGCTCCGCACAACTGTGGCCTGGGGGCCGAAGACCCCCACAGAGGGAGCGTGTGCCCCTGGAGAGAGGCCGAGCAGCCCCAGGAGCCAGGCTGGGCCCTTGTCCCCCGGGGTGGTGGCCTCGCCCTGGGCGACGGGGGCAGAAAGGACTGGTCCAGCTTTCCAGGGGAAACAGCCCCCCAACGAGGACGCAACACTGGAGCGGGGGTGACCGGACCGGAGGAGTCGGAGCCCAGGCCCCCAAGGACACTCACAGGTCGAACCACCACCCGATTGCAGAATGTTCCCGTCACTCCAGAAAAAGACCCTGTCCTCATCAGCGGTCACTCCTCCCTCCAGACTCAGGCAACCACTCATCTACCTTCCGTCTCTATTGACTCCGCCCCCCGGCCTGGGCATTTCGTGTCAACGGGGCCCGGCAGCACGGCCCTCTGTGTCCAGCCTCCTCACCGCGCACGTGTTGAGGCTCACCCGCGCCACAGCGGTCACGGCATTCCCTCACAGCCGCCTGACGTCCTGCCTGAGGGGCGGCCGACCACGTCTGTTCATCCCTGTCCGTCAGCGGACACTCAGGTGTTTTCAGTTCTGGCTGTGACAGACAGTGCTGCCATGACAATCCGCTCTGCTCGCAGAGCAACTTTATTGCATAATGACCCTAAAATCTGTCTGTCCACAATTAGCCTTCACAATATGACTTTTGAAGTTTTCCCATCCGCTTAGAGCTGAGGAGTCCACTGGCCAGCAGACCCCCGGGGAGCTGAGTAAACTGGGGGTCCACAGCCAGTGCAGTGACCATGGGGTGGGTGGCCAGAGCCTCAGACCTCCAGAACCGCCAGGCCCTCCTGACTCCTCTAGAGCTAGACCATGCGCCGCGCCGCCGGGAAGGGGCCAGGGCCTCCCCAGCACCACCGCCGCCTCTGTGGGGGCCGCTCCGCGCTCCGGGCTAGTCCAGGTCCCCTGGGAGGAGGAAACTGCAGATACTAACAGGAACTGATTCCACAAGGAGCCTGCCTCTCTGGCAAGTCTCGGTGACTCAGCAGTCACCCCTTCAGAGCAGAGGGGCCGCTGGGGGCAGTCCTCGGGGCCGAGGGTGCTGGCCCCTCATCAGGAGCTGGTTTCTGCCAAACCTTGGGGTCACGAGCACCAGGGCTCAGTCCCTCTGCCTCTTCCTTACGCACCTCATTTCACCATTGATGCGAGAATATTCCCAACAGACCCTCAAAAGCGAGCGCAGCCCCAGGCAGGAGCCTCGGCACCAGGACCCGGCCAGGGCGTGTGCTGGCCAGCCCTGGGGACGGAGGTGCCCACCGGTGGGAGGAAAAGGCAGAAGCCAGAGCCCCCACGGCACAGAGGGGCCGTGGTGATGCGTCAGGACGCGTAGGGCTGAGGACAAGGGAGGCCCAGGAGCAGGAGGGCCCCGCGTCAGGGGACGACCCTGCCTCAGGGAACGGCCAGCGGGGCCAACACAGCACAGAAGCGTGAGCAGGACCACAGCTCCCCCGAGGGGGGCGGCACAGAGCTGTCCTCCTCAGAGCTCCAGGTGAGGCAGGGCAGAAGGGCGGCCTCCCCGCCGTGCTCCGGCCTCTCCTGTCCTGTCAGCAGGCGACAGAACAGGCTCAGCTGCCCACCTGGTGCTCTGAGAACTCGCAGTCGATGGCCGGGGAGGCCAGATAGCCGCTATCACTGTACACGCTCGGTGACGCAGGACCCACGTCTCAGAATCGCAAAACCATTCCAACTGGGCTCTTTGTGAAAAGAGAGAAGATTCCAGGAGACTAGAGAAAGTGACCCACACCAGACTTTGAAAAAAAACAAGAAATTGTAGGCTGGTATCCTGATGTGACTGCCGTTACCTGGACAAGGGTGACCAGCCTACAGCCCGGGGGGCTGGCTCCCCGGCACCCTCCCCACTGCTCCTGCCTCCGGCACCCGTACCCTCTCTTCCGGGGAGAGGCGGACAAGCAGCTAACGCGAATCACAGCCGGTTCAGCGGCCACACCCAGAGGGCTCCAGCCAGAGCCTGCTCTCATCTGTGCTCAGAACACAGAACTCTTCCCTCCCAGCCCCACCTTCCAAACAGCGGGGAAGCCGCGAAAGTAACAGAGCAGGGACCCCCAGCCCCTCCCCAGGCTCCCAACCCTCTCCCGGAACTGGGACCGCACCTGCGGCCCTCCAGCCCTCTCAGTAGCTCCGCACCCTGTTCACCCGAACGCTGCCCTGTGAGCATCCGGAACAAGGCGGGCATGAACAGGCCTAACCGCAGGTCACGAGGAGCAAGCTCAGCGGCACCAGGTCCCGTCCTCCCTCCGGGGCGTCCGGAGTCCCTAACCCGGAGACTCCTCGCTGTTGCTGCGTCTTTCACGACGCCGGCACTTTTAAAGATTCAAGCTGCTTTTTGGCTTTCTTTTTCTGTATAAAAAATACATGTCCTTATAATCTGCAAATGACAAGACACTGCCAAGGAGTGTGAACCCGGGAAGGCGGAACAAGACGGGGTGGGGAGGGGGGATGCGGGCCCCGGGGTCCGGCTGCTCACAGACTGGCAACGGA